TAGGAGTCAGGGGTTTTAACCCAGTATTCTCTGGGTTTAGTCTCTAACATATCCACACCTTTATGATTGAAAAAATTACAACAAAAATTAGTTTTGTTTTAGCCCTTTACTTCACTTTTTTCCCCATTGTGGACCTCTAATGTTACACATATCTGATAACTTTTCATACCTTCTTACATGTCCCTTACGCTCTGTTCTGTTTTTGTCTACCTCCCTTGTTTGTTTCATTTTTAGTAATTCTACTGGGTTTTTGTTATTGTTATTATTTTGTTTTATGGTGCTGGGAATGGAACTCAAGGTCTCGTACTAGACAAACAGTTTACTACTCAACTACATCCCCAACTCCTGAATCTGTTTATTTATTTATTTATTTATTTATTTTTAATTTTTTTTAAAAATTTATTTGATACACTATGCAGCTTAGACTCGGAGTGATCCTCTTGTGTCAGTCTCCCCAGCACTGGGGTTACAGGCGTGCACTACCTTACCTGGTTTCAGTGGCTGCCAGGGCATAGGGCCAGTGTTGGTATGGTACCAAGATCAAAACTGGGTTCTTGCACTTGCCAGGCAGGTGCTTAGACCACCGAACTGTCTCCCAGCCCTTACTCTGCTTTTTAAATTTACAGATCCTTTCATTTGCTGTTTCTATCCAGCTATTCATCCTGTCCAATATTGTCTGTTTTTCAGTTCTAAAATGTACATTTGGCACTTAAAAAGAAAAATAAAAACAGACCTCTCGGTGCATGGTATAACCCCAGTACTAAGGAGTCTGAGGTAGGAGGATTTTTATTTCAAACCCACCATGATATACTTAGCAGGAATTTATCATTTTTTTTATAAAGGTCTAGATGGTTGTGGTGGTGCATTCCTGTAATTTCAATGTTCTGAAAGCTGAGGAAGGAGGATTGCCATGTGTTTGAAGCTAGCCTGAGCTACATAGTAGGACCTTATCTCTCTCTCTCTCTCTCTCTCTCTCTCTCTGTCTCTCACAAAAGTCTATTTTTCTCCCAAATAGCTACATCTTATCTACTGTAACCACCTAATGCCCTAACTTTCCCCCTTCTCTTTCTCTGGGAAAAAATTAAATGCTTCCATCACTTAAATAGTTTCATCTTATTTTAAATACAACATCTAGCATAACGTTTAAATGCAAAGATGCAGGAAGCAAGAAAATT